TTTCTGCCGCCCATGTGACATAAGCCACCGGGGCGACTCGGGCAGCCATGGAACGGTGGCGAATAGCGCGATGATGAAGACGAATTGGAAGGCGAGAGGGAACCTCCACGCGACAGCACCGCCTGCGTATGACAACCCAAAGTTGATCCAGTTGCAGAGGGAGAACCCGACAATGTTCATCATCATCTCAAACATGACTAGCTTCCCACGCCAGTGAGCGGGAGCTGTCTCTGTTTGCCAAATCGGGGCGGTAGCCGTGTTAACTCCGTTGCCGATTCTGTTGTGTAGACATGAGCATGATTTTGCCTCGTCATGGAACGAGCAAGGGCATTGGCTGATACTCACCCTAGCACAATGCGCCCAACAAACATCTGGGCCAAGCTATAAGACGATGCCATCAAGATGGCGCCGATGCTCATGATCGCGGTACCGATGAGGATGGACTTCGTTCGACCCAGTGATTCCCCAATTGTGAATGCCAAAATCGCTCCGACGAAACAGCCAATGTCGTATATTGCTGTGATTGTAGATAGCATACGGGTCTTCTCCGGGCCGACGAGGTCATGGAGCTCGAGAAAATCGTCGGTCACAATGACACCGCTGAAGACTTTGCTCGTGTTAGCATACGGCTCAGACCTTAGGAAAATCGCTTACCTGCTTGGTCATAGCCGAACATGAGCATGTCTACACTGCATGCAAATGTAATCCAGTAAGTAAGCCATTTCCCCTTGAGCCCAGAATATGGCGCTTTGGCTACAGCGGTGGCCATCTTCGTTGCATGTGAAGTGGTTGTCCAGGGGCTAGTGAGATCTCGTATCAAATCCGTTCGTGGTCAATACACAGGTATCCAAGTCTCCCAGCAAGTTTGATATGAATTGGAATTTATTGAAGGTGCATCCAGGTATTAGAACTGATCCTCGGATTACATGACCCGGGGGAACGGCTGACAAGGGTGTAAGATGTGGTCCGATTTTCTCCCCGTGGGGTTACGAGATCTGCGTTACTGGGAGTCTAGAGTAACTGTATGCCCAGGTGTATATGATATCCTATTGGCACCGGTTAAATGGGGTTGGGAAGATCGGGGTAATCATTTCCTGGTCCCCAGATTCACTCGATTATGATCAAGATGATTCCATCTGTTTTCCACATTCGATCACTCTCCCCATAATCATTCAAACTTGGCGTAATGAACGAGGTCGAAGGTTTTCAAGAGGAGATGGAAAACAAAAGTTTTTCCACTCAAGACTGAAGGTAAAGTTGAGCCATCTGAGGTGCCGAGAGCTGATGCGCGACAGCGATCATGCACTGGAGGCCGAAATTGTTTGTGGTCACTGTGCCAAGGAAGAGGGGTATTGCATCTCCTGACCACCATGCAGCCCACGGGTGCCATAAGAGTCCAGTGATGAAGGATTAATTTCGGATTATCTACTTTATGTCATGGGATTCTCACTTCTACAAGCTTCGATCGCAGCCTCAAGGATCTTGATGCAAGGCCCCGGTCGTGCTGCAGTCCCTCTGACCAGTCCTCTTCTAAGTTACCGTATCTGTTGGTATCCCTATTACAGGGTAGTTGGTTCGAACCGTAGTTGACGAAGAGATCAATTGAACTATATGAATATCTGCGTAGTAGGTGTAAAAAGGAGGTTCCAACCGTAGGTTGGGCTGGCTACGATAATCGTAAATAGGGCCCCCAATTGGCCCCTGCGCAGTCGGCCGTATGCCGCGGTCGAATTGGACTTCCAATCCGACAGTATCACTGTGCTAACAGATGTTTCTTCATCCATCTAGGGTGGGCGTATGTACCTACTTCAAGGAGCATTAAACACTCTTTAAATGTAACGGAAAATACTCAGGATAAATGCTGCCATCTTCAGTAAAAGGTCGTTGAAAATCTGAGCTTTATCTTCTCTTAGCTTGACGTAAGGTAGTTAGAGTCAGGCATCACAAAAATGTCACTTGATCAAAGCTAACAGCCTTAGTTCATGTATACATTGTAAGTAGACAGGCAGAAAAGCAGGTACGTCGCCACTGTGAGTCGAATACCATCCAGAACTTAGAAATCACACGATTGGCAATTTCAGTGATACAGACCTCTTTAGCAGTCGGAAGAGTTGAAAGAAACGTTCCATTGAAACTACCTTGAGGTCAATAAAACTTTGTGTCATGCGCGCCATGTCCACAAACGCTGTTGGACTCCACCAACCTTACACGGCACACTAAGGTCCCAAAGCCAATTTTGAGTGAGGCCGCAACCTTTTGGATCTTAATTGCGAGAGTTTCTTCAAACGTGGGCAACCATCGTAGGCTGTGGACACACATATAGTCGAGAGCTCTACTGCCTAAAATTTGGAGAGTGCCAAATTCTTCCAAATCTCCATCTGTCTCAAAAGTCTCCCCCGCCTACAGGGATCAAAAGTCGATAAACCCCACCACCCACCCCCCTACCAAATTTGCATTAGAAATCATCTCTCATACCAGGCATAGATCCCGCACAAACCTCCGGCAATCCGGCAGCCACCAATGCATCAGATGCTGTCTCTCTTGTAGTGGATAAGAAAGATTCTCTATACTATTTAACTCTATCGATTTATATTACTAAAGGATTACCGCAGTATATATAGATATTATTTTGCCCTCGAATTCCGTAGTATCTAACTTTAACCCTTTTTTTACCTATTCTTTTTTTAATTTTACCCTCTCTTTTTTTAAACAATTATTAAAATTATAATATAATAATTTATTAATAAACTAATAATATTTTTTAAAAATAAATAACATATATTTATATATAAGTACTAAGACTTTTATTATTATAAACATAATAATAAATATATTAAAATATTACAAAAGGCTTTTTAATAAAGTTTTAATATTATTTAAAATAATAAACTTTAAATTATAAAGAGAAACTAAAATCTTATATTAATATAATCCTATTTATTTTATTAATATTAATAATAACTTTTTAATATAAAATATATTAATAATATTTTATAATTATATTATTATATCTTGTAAATTATATTTAATAATAATAAGGAGTTTAATAATTATTCTTTTATTTATTAAAGTTATTATTATAAAATTAGTTTAGTTATTAATATTTTAATAAGTATTTTAACTTAATTTAAAAGCTTTTATAATTCTTAAACAAAGGTTTTTAAAACACTTTTAATTAGATTTTCATTTATTATAAATAAAATTATTATAAATAAAACTATTATAAATAAAACTATTATAATCAAAATTATAATATTACGAACTTTAATAATAAATAGTTAATAATATAATTTTCTTTAAAACGAGCTTAAAAAAGTATTTTAATTTAAGTATTAAGTAAGTATTATATTATTTTATAAAAACTATATTCTTATATTTATAATTTCAAAAGAATTGACTTTCTTCGATAATAAGGTACTTAGAAAGATCCTCTAGCTTCAAACCTCCGCGAGCATTGCACAGGTTGTCTCACCAACCCAGACCAACCAAGCCACACTAATAGCGCCGAGCTTTTTAATCTCTGTCTTGTTGACACTCACTGGCGAGATATTGTCACTCAGTACCTATATCATTTCTGCGTCCTGCGTTAGAATGCGCTTTTGCTGGTGTACACGCTCTTTGAACGTCCCGATCTTGCCAAACAGGTCAAGTTATTTTCTTCCAGAGAAGTCCAATCTCAGGCAATGGAAATCCCAAAGTTCCGCCGTTCGAGAGGTCTTGAAAATTTCACGAACCATGCCTCTCTTGGCACCTATGCACTGAAGCCGGGGGTAGAATTCGGCACAAGGTTGTGGGGCATGCATTTCCTCCGAGGGACAGCTATGTGGCACCAGTGGTTGATGCTGCAAAAACCAGCCCTAGAAACAGTATCAGTATACCATTAACACCAACTACATTTTCCTGAGTACCCAGACATCGAGAGATTGATTTTTATGAGAATTCGGCGCAACATGGACATTCCCACGATGCTGATGTTCGGCAGCCCTTCATATGTCCCTCGACAAGTTTACCCGCATACAACCGCCTGCTACGGACCCTACGGGTGGCCTTTCGACGATAGTCGCAGCTTGCGTGATCTTGCAATCGATTGCATGTTCACACACTGTGGCGGCATGGAAGAAACACAGGATATTAGACACGGCCACATGGAATGGGTGGCGTGCCAAAACCTGAATGACTTTTGCGTCAGGCGTCTGAAAGACCTCGCACCCACACTCAAACCTCTACGCCTTGGTAGCAGCTCAGGAAAATACTGGGGCGACGCCGCCTGGGATTGTTCTACCGAAGGGAGCGACGAGAAGACGGACCCACGGGGATACCTTCATGAGCACGAGCTGCTCGAAGTTCGGAGACTCGAGTGCCGGAGTGAGCTACCTTATACAATGGTAATGACCTGGTATCATCGCACCCATCTTCCTTGCGATGCTTATGTCTTGGGGGTGGCTTCCGAGCCGTTTTATTAGTCTACGATGTACAAGGACTGCTAGAATGTATCAAAAGAGGAGAGCTTCCCCAGTTTCGTGCCTTACACATCATCACCAAAGTCAACGCGGTAGAAATGAGCCCTGAGGAACTGGTGATCAGACGACAACTAGAGGATTTGGGAGTGGAGCTCAAGTTTTATGGGCAAGACATACGACACGGTGTGGATTACGCGGTCCTAGAAGATGAAGGCTGGACAGTAAATGATAAGATTGGAGGTTCGCTTGACTTTCAATTCTCGTCTAAGGAAACATCGTCCTGAGGCTTTGAGCCCTGAGAGATCCCACGTTATCGAAGATATGCACTATTCGAGAACATAGTACGGTACTTTATTTGCTTTTAATAAGCAGGTATCTTCAGACCATCTCAATAAGTTCAAATTATCGTCAGATGGTGAATGAACATTCTAGGTGCCTAGGGATTTCATATGGCATCGCTCAGCCTGGCTCGGTAAATGTCACTGTTTCCGACCTCTTCTACATTGCTCTTCAGTCACTCCTTTTCCAGAAAACATTGCTCTAGAAAGCAGCAAGACCACCCAGAGCAAGCATGCCAAGGGTACCCATAGAAGCCAAAGCAGGAGCAGCACCAGCCTGAGAAGCAGTGGTAGCCGCGGCAGCCGTGCTGCTAGCGCCGGCAGTCGGTGTGGCGGTGATCGAGACAGAGGCAGTCGCGTTAGAAGCAGCGGTCGATGCAGAAGCGGCGGCAGATGACAGAGATGCGATGGCAGAAGAAATGACGGCGGAGGCGGAGGCGGAGGCAGAGTCGACGGGAGGAGCGGAGGCGCCGCCGGTGACCTCGCGGCAGAACTTGCCGGCGGCGGGGAGGAGCTGACCTGTTGTTGAGAGCAAGTATCAGTCATGGTGTTGAGGCTGTTGCCTGGAAGATTGAAGGCGTGGAGCCTGGTAGATGTGCAAAACAGAAAAGGACTAAAGTGAAGTTGACGTACCAATAGCAACGTCAGAGCCGCAGGCTTGAAGGACGCAGTTGACGCCGACGGTGTAGATGCTGCGGTAATTGTCCGCCTCGCAGATGCAGGCAGAGTCGTCAATGCTGCTGCACTTGGTGCCGTCCTTTACGGCCTTTGTGAGGCACTCGATGGAGCACTTGGGGACGACGTCTGTGAACTTTTGTTGGGCCACGGCAAGGCCGGCGGTAGCCAGGAGGACGTATGAGCACTTCATCTTGAGGATTGTGATGAGGTTTACGGCTTTTCAGACGACACAAGAGACAGACTTTTTGGTGATGCTAACCAAGGAATTAGGAGACGAGTGATAGGCGCGGGAAAGAGAAAGGAAATCTCATCACGTCTAGCTCTTGCCGGAGGTACATACGATGTTATATATGTACAAACACATAGGGCCTTCCAAGTCCATGGCTACCTTGGAGGGCAGGCCATGTTCCTGGACAATGTTAGAGTCAGGCTTCTGCATGTGGCGTCCGCCCGCGAGGTAGTTCGACCCTCCCTCACTCCATCACCAGCGTTATTAGAATAAGGCGTTCGTGTTGAGTGATCCGATGGTGCATCCAAAGCCAGGGTCGGTTAGATGGTCCGGCCAACTTGACAAGGGGTTGTACCTCTATGCATGGCAGCCATGCCAGATCAGGATGCTCGGTTAGAGCTCTCTCGCTTCATTCGGGTCGCGTTCAGGGCCTTTTTGACGGCGAGGTGGAGAGGGGGACGCTAGCTTGGCCGTTGGTGAGAAGTGTCATTGGCTGGAGGGGAGTGAAGAGATTGATAAAGGTTGCAGAGGAGGCGTGGGGTAGGGGACGAAGAAAGTTATCTGATCCATCAGATAAGATTGGATGGCGTCGGCGCTCTCGGTAGGCCTAGACAAGTTTTCAGCTTTGGCCCTGGTGTGCTCCAGCTACACCAGGTTAGTCCCAGTCCCTCATGGATTCCCCTGCCCTTGCTCGGTACGTGTTCCGATCAGTGAGCGCTTTTCCATCTCGTTGGTCATATCGACGATGTTGGTCCATGGTAGGCAAGGAACTTTTGCTCAGCCCGAGGATGAGCTCGGGAAGACATGTGAAGGGCTTTCAGCGTGGTCAATCGTGTGTGTTTCCGCTCCCTATAACTTAATGCAAAGCCACTATAGGTTGTACTTCGATTCGCAATGACTCAGGTTGATCAAGTGAAATCATTGCATTCTTTTTCTCTCGCTACATGATGGTCTATAGCCTGCGATAGTATCCAAACGGATGTGATTCTTGGGCAACTTGAAGTTCTCGTAACTGGAGAAAAAAAAGGCTAGTTCGGTCTTCGGCGATGAAAACATGCCAGCAAAGCGGAGAATCGACAGGGGTCGCGATGTGCGCCAGGTTCATGAGCTTGACGTGACGAGGTCCAGTAATAAAAATGTAGGCTCGGCCGATTTGCTCCAATTCGGACGACAGCACGTGGACGGTGGATGAATGGAAGCGCAAGGTATTACGGACAAACTTGGGCATACCATCAGCGAGAGTTGAACTTTTGGTTATTGGCTTGCACCTTCACGAGAGGTAGACACCTGTGCTGGCTGGTCTCCTGTCAAAGTCTCTGATTTATGATCAAGCTAGGGCGCTCTGAGGACCTTAGGAAGCAGTTGGTTGAAGAGTCCTTATATGATGAGAATTGGCCTTGAGCAAGCTGGGTTTAGCGAGCAACAGACGCGCAGGGGAGGGAATTGATTGAGAAGAATTCTTCCTTTAGAGAAATTCCAAAGGCATGGCTAGAGACGCACAATGTGGCTGAAATGTCAGGTAATCTGTGGCTGTGGCTTTGTGGCTAAGCTGTCATCAGCCACATGACGGAGTATCGTCCGGCCTTGCCTGATTCTTCCACTCCGGACGATTCCGTCCCGTTGAGCCGGCGATTGGTGCACCATTGCCGCGGTACGTACTCACCGAGTCCCGACGAGTGGCCGATAACGCAATCGTTTTAGAGCACACACCTTCGGCGGGCAACAGCAATTGACCAAATGGAAAGAACCTTGCCCTGCTGCTGCCCTGCGGGAAAGAGTCATCGCAGCGAGGGAAGCAGCAGAGAAGTGGGCCCGTCGTCACGTTGGCCCGCAGACCTGGAACCCCGCCAAAGCAAAACCTGCCCCTCCATGGCCGATTTTTAAACCCCGCGTCTTCCCCTTCTGATTGTTTTTGTGAAGTTATCGCAGACCGACGTTGCGATCGCAGCAACCCATACTTTGGACAATTCGCTAAACAAGTTGCTTGTTGCTATACACACATTCTCTCATTCTCTCGCACATTTCAATCCATACCGGACGCCATGGCTACGATTGATATCGTTCTCGGCGCCCAGTGGGGGTAAGCTGTCAAGATTCTCGCGGCCCAAATTTGCTCTACCTTTTGCTCTACACATACATGCGTCTTCTCACCTCACAATATCCCGCTTCTCTCCTTTGTCTATCTTGTGCTATTGCACACTGGTTACATTTCTCAATCTCCGGCCAGCAGAGTGATACATGACAGACAGGGACCTCAAGGGTGTACACGTATCGGCCGTGTATGCGTATGCTCTCGATGGATCGCGACACATCGACAAACATTCACCTCTGCTGCGCCATTGAAGACCTGCCGCAGAACTACGAACTAACATATCGCGCTCAAATAGTGACGAGGGTAAGGGAAAGCTGGTCGACGTGTAAGCTATGCCCATTGACGCCCCCGGGCCCCTCTTCTGACATCCGCGATATAGCCTCGGACAAGACGCGCAGATTTGCGCCAGAGCTCAGGTTGGGTTTTTGGTACCTTTTGGATAATCAATGGCATGCTGATGGCCCTAGGGCGGACACAATGGTAGGAGTCACTCCAACTCCCGAAGCCATCGCGACGTGTAGTATCTAACCCGACCTCCAACAGCCGGTCACACCGTCATCGTCGATGGCGTCAGCTATGACTTCCGTACGTGTTTATGTCCTCGCAACGCTCCTTTGACCCCCTTATGCTGATCATCACCATCTACAGACCTTCTTCCCTCTGGTCTCCTGCACCAAAAGTGCATCAGCCTCATCGGATCCGGCGCCGTCGTCCACGTCCCGACCTTTTTCAAGGAGATGGCCGATCTCGAGGCCAAGGGTCTGAAGAACATCCGCGAGCGCCTCTTGGTGTCCGACCGCTGCCACATCATCACCGACTGCCACATCCAGGTCGATGGGTTGGAGGAGCAGGAGCTTGGCGGCAACAGCATCGGCACCACCAAGCGCGGTATTGGCCCGACCTACAGCACCATGGCTGCCCGCAACGGTATCACCATCAGCGAGATGTTTGACGAGGAGCTCTTTGAGCACAAGCTTCGCCAGCTCGCTCAGGGTTTCAAGAAGCGCTTCGGCGACCTTCTTGTCTACGACGTTGAGGACGAGATCAAGCGCTTCAAGCAGTACAGAGAGGACCTCCGCGTAAGTTTCCTTGCGACGTTGAAATGCCGTATTGGTGACTAACATGCCTCCATAGACCTTTGTTGTCGATGCTGTCCCCATCATCGCCGACGCTCAGAGGAACGGGAACAAGATCCTCGTTGAGGGTGCTCAAGCTGTCATGCTTGACTTGAGTACGTGAATACTATAGCATATTGATTATGGATGCCTTGCTAATCTTGATAGACTTCGGTACTTACCCCTACGTTACATCATCCAACACTGGCCTCGGCGGTGTCTTCACTGGTGTAAGTTGAAGTCATCCTTAAATGAACAGACCAGTGCCCTGACATGTCACTAGCTCGGCCTCAACCCCAGAAAGATCAACAACGTCGTCGGTGTCGTCAAGTCCTACACCACCCGTGTCGGTGGCGGCGGTTTCCCCACGGAACTGCTCAACGAGACGGGCGAGAAGCTCCAGAAGATTGGCCACGAAATCGGTGTTTCCACCGGCCGCTCTCGCCGCTGCGGCTGGCTCGACCTGGTCGTCATCAAGTACTCGCACGACCTGAACCACTACACCGCTCTCAACCTTACCAAGCTCGACATCCTCGATACCTTCCCCACCATCAAGGTCGCCGTCGGCTACAAGAACAAGCACACCGGCGAGGAGTTCCCCTCCTTTCCTGCCAACATCAGGGCCCTTGATGACGCTGAGGTCGTGTACGAGGAGCTCGAGGGCTGGAACACGCCCACGACGGGCGCCAAGACGTACTATGACCTGCCCAAGCAGGCTCGCGCGTACGTTGAGTTCATTGAGAAGTTTGTTGGTGTCAAGGTTGTCTGGATCGGCACTGGCCCCAAGAGAGAGGACCTTATCTTCCGTGGATACTAGATCCAGGTGTCCCCGTGCTTTGGGAGGAAAATGAACCCAGAGGGGTTACGACATAAAGATGAGACGTTGAGTCTCTCCATGGAATTATTGATAGAAGTTCCATTTGCACCTGAAAACAATAGATCGCACACAAGACCACAATTTTCGAGACTAGCATCTACAACAAGCTTTTGCCGCTCTTACAGTGTCACATATGATATATTGGCAGCAGTGTGTAAAGCACCGGCAGATTATCCGTAACGCCCCAGTAAGAGGGGCAATGAATTGGGACAATGACTCACATTTCGCTCAACCACACCGGCCAAATCCCAATGTCATCACCACAATCTTTTCCCAGCGGGGCCGAGGAAATTCGTAATATCGACCCCAATTACACGGTTTACCCCCGACATCGGGAGGGGCTGAGGCATTTAGCCTGCCCCTCGGTCCCCCCTTCTCAATTCCGCCGAACAAAGCAGCTAGCAAATTTTTTCACATTTACTCCAAATTGGGAGGTCGCCATTGGCCCGCTGCAGCAACATCACAGACCTCCAATCTGCCAGGGCAAAAACGTCAACCACACCCGCACAGTTCGCAACGAAACTTGAAGCCCAAACTCGGAGTAATTGGACACAGGCGAGCATCGAAGATGTTCTGAATTGTCTGGCCGGTTGGCCCAATGGCAAGGCGTCTGACTACGATATACCGTGGAATCAGGAGATTGTGGGTTCGACCCCCATGCTGGTCAAAATCTTTTGCCGGGTTGCCTTTTGTTTGTATTGTTGACACGGAGCGTTCCCGACGCTTGGTTGTGCGTTGTCTTATGTTGTCCTTATTCTCCTTTGAGTGTTTGTCATGTATTTGCCCTGTTTAGATTACCCCAATGTCACCTCTTTCATCCTTTTCAACACAGCTTCAGCATGTCTCTGAAATGGCCATGGAGTTTCTTTTGTCTTAA